CAGTGGTAGCGTCTGATGAAGCCCTGACGAAGTATGGATGCAATGCATCTGATAACCCAATGACAATTGCGGTGATTGTTTCCGCTGACCATAGCAAAGAAGAAATAAAAACTTCTGATCCTGCGATGGAATGAACATGAAATGAGGAAATTACGAAAATAAATATGAAGTTGTGATTATGCACCAAAGAATATCCGGAGTGCGCAAGCTATTCGCTCATTTCAACGATCTTGACAGAGTCTCAGATGGCTCTCCTCAGAAAAATTAGTGTCCGATAACTCACTACAGACGTTCTTCACACAGTGCGCCTCTCTGATGAGCCTGTTTCTTTCACCAGGGAGTTTTTCCTTGATGTCTGAGCGACATAAGCAGCGCACAAGACAGGACAGCAACTTGTACACCACCGGGTGGCGCACCGAGGTGGTAAGAGACGCTTTTGGGGTCGCCCAGCCGCCCAGTACAGCGGAGATCCTGGCCGACATGCGGTTCCCAGTCGCCGAGGCGCCCGAGGCGCCACCTACGGAGAGCGATGCCAAGTGGCCACAGACCAATGGCCCAGGCCCGCGCCGGCTTGCTTGCGTGTTTGTGGGCGTTGTATGTCTGAATATGTTACCACAACGCTGAACGTAATGTTTTCAATTAAGTGACGATGAGCTACGATAGGCAGCAGTCTATTGCGTATGGCTAAAAAAAACGGCTATTTCTGCCCATGAATGCATGCTGCCACCTCCCCCTCTCCTCCGACGCAGTAGCATGGATTGTGGCGACCAGCTCCCCGGGCATGGCACGACGCCCCGGGGCCTGTTTTAGCCCTCTGGATATCGTAGGATAGCTTTCCACCGCTGACCCTCTGGACATGGCACAACAGCGAGCTCTGTTGATCCTCTGGGCAGAGAACGACAACCTCTTTTGCCTGCTGACTTTCTGGACGGGGCACAATGACGAATCAGATGACCGCTGAAGAACGGCATCGAGGTAGCAGTGGTCGAAGCCCCAGAAGAACACTGGGAGAGCGGTCTGCGACGACGCTCAGAGCATTGCACGACGACGCCAGCCGTTTAACCCCTGCGCACGCCCCTCTCCCAGTCCCCGACGACCCGTCCAACAGGCCCGAACGGTGGCCCCTCCGCGCCGTGCGCACCCGCCGCAGCACTTACCATGGGTAGCCGGCTCTGGGCCAGAAGGTGGAGCTGCAGTAGGCGACGTTCCTGGCGCCGCCGCCCCCGTCGAGACCGAGCATGACGCGCCGGGCCGGAGGTGGTCGCTGTGTGTGGAGCTCGTGCGGGGGAGCGGCCGCCGCTCTGCCAGGGCCCGCCGCGAGCCTGCCGCGGGCTGGATGCTGCCGACGTAATTGGTCTGCACACGGGCCGGACTGCGGCATGGCACTGGTGCGCCGCCCCCGGCAGGTGGGCGCCCTACCTGCCGCGAGCTGCTGCTCTTTATTCGCGGCGCCCCACAGAGCCGGGCCGCGCCGGCCGCCTCCTTTGTGGCGGCGCCATTCACGCGTGGGAACGTGCCGTCCCCTCCACTGCCAGCCCGGCTCCGAAAACGCTCCGCCGCCGCCGTTATTTATATTATAATTAGGATTAGTAAAAAATGTGTTGTATTGTTTACTGAAAAGTTCCGATCGCATACGATTTGGGGCGAACAAAGTTGGGGGTTGTGTGTGCACCTGATGTCGTGAGGCGGCGGACAAAGCGGCGTCGCCACCTGGTGGTAGGCATCAAGAGGCGCAGCTCAAAATTCCACCGACGCTGGATGCTAATTTGATGCATAATTTAGTTCCTTTCATCGGCGAATGGTTCGGCGTCCCAAGATGTGTTAAATCTCTCGTCCGATGCGCAGTTTCTAACACGCATGTGGGTATCGCCACGGGGAGGAAGGGGTGTCCCCAAACGGCGAGGACCAACATCTGATTTGCTCAAATGTCGCCCCCAGACCAGTTTGATAATCGAAAGAGCCACGCGTTTAGACTCTTCTTCCAGCAAGCATCATTCCATAGCAAGGTTAGTACAATAGTATTAAGCCGACAGTGCGCACGGTTGGTGTCTACCCCTAGCCATGCTTTTTTACCGACAGTTTCGAATTCAAACCATAGCAGCAGAAAAACCTTTTGAAACAAGCTGCTTCTAAGCTTTCAGTCAATAAATCTGGGTCTGGGGCTCTGAGAGCGCCGTTTCTGACCCCGCTCTTGTATGCCATGCCCTTCGCTCTATGCTGTTTCCCGTCTTGGATGAACCTGGAAACTATTTATTCTGTTCTCTTCAACGAGCGACTTAAGAAATGGGCAGAAAGTAACTACATACACCGATCGGCATAATGCTAACGCCTTAACCACTAGCAACATCCCTGACGCAAAAAAAGTTTCGTGTCAGCCGTCGCGATATGCTGTATTAGATTCCTTTTGTCTTAGCTGGATAACTGTGTTTCTAATCATCTCGCTGCTTACTAGCGGCTGGGTGCCCACAATCGAGTTGAAGCTTTGAGCCACTGCAATCCATACTCAGGACACATGAAATAACACAAAGCTAGTTTAAAACATGGCCCATGCATCGTCAGTCTGTTTTAAATTTGGCTGTATACCGGAAACTTTGTAAAAGAGCCCGGACAATTTAAAAGTTTCTGACTATAAATGCGGCTCTTCCCCTGAGTATGTGTTGGTGCCGAGGCCTACACGAAGAAATACTTCGACCCTCGCCGTCCCCAACTTGAATGTCTTTCATTAACGTCGGACTTCTTACTGGCTTTGCTAAAGCCTCTAGCCACAGTGCAAACGACGGTTAGTGCAACGGGCATCTCTTCACTAAGTTATCACAATCATAATAATTCCATAAAATCAGGATGTAAGGTAGTGTCCAAAGTCGATGCTACATGTACACGAATTGAGAAATATAAACTTACTCAATCTAAAACCTTAAGGTAATCAATTAGTACAACAGCTCTCGAAATGCCGTTGTCGTTAGTCATGCCCAGAAGCATGCCAACTCCATCATGCCTAGAAGCAGAGCGAATTTTGAGCCTGATACAAACTCATATTTAAATGCTTATTTTATCACCCTAATCAATCATTTGGGATCGCATTGTGTCACACTTGCAAACAAAGCTTACAAACCACGGAAATCGTGTGATTCACATTCATGCTAACGGTAAAGCTATTTGGGGTGTTTGGTGCTTTACGCCACACTCAACTGCTGTTCAACATCTGTACACCATCCATCATTTGTTGTCCACCATCTTTTCGAGCTATTTTACGGATGGCCTTTTGCACCCGTCCAAGGCCACGCTCCCCAGTTTTCTTTTGAAACTGGTCGGAGTGTTTGAATGTGGGCTCTATGGCGTCGTTTTAGAGTTAATCAGAACCTTTTAAATGAATGAAAATCTGGGATCACATCTCACGATAAGCACTGGCTGTTGTGTGAACCCTCACTCCTACCGTCTGATAGAGCAAAACCATGTCAACGGCAGCATTTGGTGGCGTAAGTCTAACGTGCAGTGCTGTTCGGCATGGTCGGTCCTGCCCTCTGACGTCACCTGACCTTCAGCGCAGCTGCTGTCAACCGTCACAGGCGATGCACGTTAAAGGCAATCAAATGCAATACAGAATTGAGAAGTTTTGCAGCATTTCCTAAATAACTGCATCTGCTTTCAATTCTTAACTTTTCTGCCGATCAATATTACCAATTTTACAACTGCTTAAGGCTTTGTGCAAACTAGTAATACTGCACATTCTATATAGACACACCAATATTCCCAATATGCGGAAGCCCCCAGTGGCCGAACTCTGGCTCAAATGTTGCTATTTTTGCTCGGCTCGTGGCGCCGCAACGCCATGGTCAGAGGGCCACCGTGACTGTCTGACTGCCAGTCAGAGGGCCACCGTGACTGTCTGACTGTCGGTCAGAGAGCCACCGTGACTGTCTGACTGTCGGTCAGAGAGCCACCGTGACTGTCTCACTGTCGGTGTCGCTGACACCGCACGGGGCAGCGACACCACACCGTGACTGTCTGACTGTCGGTGTCACTGACACACCGCACGAGGCAGCGGCACCACACCGTGACTGTCCGATTGTCGGTGTCGCTGACACACCGCACTGGGCAGCAGCACCACACCGTGACTGCCTGACTGACGGTGTCGCTGACACACCGCACTGGGCAGCGGCACCATACCGTGACTGTCTGACTGTCGGTGTCGCTGACACACCGCACTGGGCAGCGGCACCACACCGTGACTGTCTGACTGTCGGTGTCGCTGACACACCGTACTGGGCAACGGCACCACACCGTGACTGTCTGACTGTCAGTGTTGCTGACACACCGCACCGAGCAGCGGCACCAGGCGCAAGGTACCCAATGTTATGACCGCGGCTTGGCGAAAAAAAGTAATAAAAAAAGAACACCGACTGGTAGTGAGGAGCAACGCGACCAGAATCAGACGAGATGTCGCACGCGTCCTCGTGATGAATCAGAAGTTGTTGCTCAAGCGTCCAATGCTTTGCATACCTGTGTTAATGAGTTACGAGTGTTCTCGCCTGCTTGCCTGCTGCCGAAGGACTGAGCTTGGATAAGAGAACCATTTGTTCCAAATGCAAGCCAGGAACGAGGCGCGGTATGCAAAGGAAACAATCTTAGCCACTTCAGCATTAGCCACACTAATAAGCAAAGAAAACATTACGTTTTATTTTGATGTGATGTTGGAGGATATGCGTTCGCCTGTGTACATCTACGTATGAGTAGTGGCGGTAAGTGGTTCCCGCTAATGCACTGAACAACTGACACTACCCTTGGCAATTGAATTGCCTCCTTATCTATCCCACATTGCATTTCCCCAAAAATTAGAGACAAGTACCCCCACCCCACCTAACGTACTCGCTAACGCAAGAGCTCCAAATCAAATTCCCGCTTCAGTCAGTCCGGATTGAATCGTGAGTCCAAATTCTGGTAGCTCGTCTTCAGCCGCACCATCTGCGCTAGTATCGTCTCATATTGGAATAGCGCGCAGACGCGCGGATGCGCGTGTTGGCGGTGGAGTCGTTAAGTATCTTGGAAAGCCGTGGCAAAAACTCGTTACAAAAATCAAGTCGACCAATCAACCTTCAATAGCTGTCGAAGGTAATTTGCATTATCTCTTTTGCTCATTGTAATAGCTTGTTCAGTATTGCAGCGCAACTTGCCCGCTGTTTTGGAAGGCGCTTATTTCCTTGCAAGTTGCAACATTGTGGGTGTGATGCAAGAATTTCGAGAGGTTATGCGATTTGGTGTGCCCCCTAACCCCCCAATCCCACCGTCTTGGAGTCATGTACAGCGTCACTGAAATTGTTGGTGTGCTCTTCCAGCAGCCTGTTAGATTTGTGTGTTGTGTGAAAACTAATATTATCATCCATAATATTAGTTTTCCAAGAAATAGATGGTTACAAGGCAAAGTTGGTGTGTCAGAATGTCAGTATTGGCTATGTTGATAATGTTATTTTTTAGTTCTTGTATTTGCAGCTTAAAATTATTAATCTCACATTGAAGAATTAATGGTAAACATTAAGTAGAGACCCTTGGCATACACTTGGCATACATCTTGCACATTGCCACATACACACCATCTACAACTTCGTGTTAAGATGTCAGTGATAAACAATGAAGTGGAAACCTTTAGATCCAAAACCCAACATAAGGTACATATCTGGTTTTGTGCCAGAAAAGTATTGCCTTAATGGAAACAGATGAAAATTTACAATCATAAATTTGGCATGGGTAAAGGCCTTTTATTTCTTTATGATGGCAAAAATTTAACAAATAGGGACATGACAAGTCTTGCTGATGCTTTTTTACTAATATGCATCACGTGATTTATGTATGATAAATCATGCAACTTAATATGGACATATTTAGGATCAAAGCATTATTAATAAATCAACAAGACAAGAGCTTGATGGACTCATTGATTGAAATACATTCATTTGTATTGGTTAGTGTGAATATTATGACAGGGAGCTTCAGCTGTACTCATTGGTCTGACAGAATGGACAAATGGCAATAAGCCAGGGTTGACAGGCCTTTTATGAAGTTATGCATCATTTAAGGTGTCATTGCAAGTCATCATCAGTGCATCAGAAAATTTTAAAATGCTGCTGATGTTTTCACTAAGCTGGCTAGTATACCCATACGAACACTTCCATAAAGCTCGGAACTTTGATTTGTGAATCTTCTACCTGTTCCCATAAGCCCTCATACCCTACAGCCAGGAAATTTGGAACCTTGGCATATGTACTACAGCAAAGACTTGTTTTGCCTAGTCATGCACTGGTGTAAAACTCCTCATCCACTTAGTTTTTGTGGTGATCACTTACCAAACAGTGTACAAGCAGTGACACACAAAATGAATGGGTGCAAAATGATCACAGTAGTCGGAACACCCTAAAACTCCAAGTCAACAACAGCACAAAAATAAATATCAATAGTGACAAGAGTGCATTACAGTCTAGTGTCCTATTTGGACTACATCTCCACATGCACCCTGCCTTCAACTGGTCAGTCATCTGGCAGTAGGCCACACCTGACAATGGCACGTGTCCTCTGTTCCAGCCAATCACCACCGCACCGCCATGGCTGCCGGCACGCCGTCCCGCCTGGCCCTGAAGCAGACCCCGCTCGACACGTGGTCGACGCGCGAGCACCTGGCGCTGGCGTCTGCCGTGCTGCGCAGCGGCGACCAGAACTGGGTGTCGGTGAGCCGCGCCATGCGTGGCTTCGCCGACGCCGGCCGTCCATCCGACTGGCTCTCGCAGAAGAACTGCGCGCAGCAGTACGCGCGCCTCCTCGAGCTGGTGGACGCGCCCAAGCGGAAGCGCGAGCGCGGCGAGCCGAACGAGACGCCGGGGGAGCACATCGTGCGGCGGCTGCGCCAGGACCGGACCGAAGAACTGCGCCGCCTGGTTGCCGAGAAACGGGCCGCCTACCTGGCGCTCAAGCAGCAGATCAGCCAGCTGCGCTCTGGCCAGCTGGACTCACAGCTGGACGACATCCAGCGCCAGATCCAGGCCGAGAAGGAGGCGGCTGCACTGGAGGAGGAGCGCCGCCGCCAGCGGTTGGCCGAGCGCGAGGCGCAGAAGGTGGCCGTGCAGCAAGCGCTGCGAGCGCAGGTGACCAAGGCGCCCCCGCCGAAGCGGCGCAAGCTGACGCCAGAGCGGCGCGATAGCAGCCTCTCCGAGGCCGGCTCGGCGTCCGAGCCCGAGTTCGCAGAAGACAGCGCCGCCTCGGACGCGGTGGCGGCCGAGGCCAGCGGCGACGAGGCGAGCAGGGAGGGCGCCGACTCACGACCGGCGCCCTCTTCCCCGCTGCTCACCTCGCTGCTCCGCTCGCCCTCGGGTGGCGCGCGACCGGCGACTGCGGCGGCAGCGGCGACAGCCGAGCCGGGCCCGCCAGCGTCCTCCGCCGGCTCGCCCACGCTCTCACGGCTGCTGGAGCTGCCGCCGGCCGCGCCGGGCTATCCGCTGCCACGGCTCAACCTGTTCCCCGACCAGGCGGCCCGCGACGGCGAAGCGACCGCGGCGGAGAAACCGGCCGCAGAGAAGGTGGCCGACCCGCCATCTCCGCGGCTGCCGCCAACCGCCGCCGCCACCACTGCCGCCGCCAGAGGCCTCGCAGCCAGCTGTGGCCGCTGAGATGGAGGTGGAGTCCGAGCCGGCGCCGCCTGAGTCGGCTGAGCAGGGTGACGCGGTGGCCGACGTGCACGCGGAGCCGGCGCAGGAGTTGCCTGCTGCCGCTCCGGAGGCGCCGGCTGAGCAGGCCACGCAGGCGGAAGAGGTCGAGGCGGCCGCCTGCCCGCCGCCGCCGCCACCACCGCCTCCACCACCCCCGCCGCCACCACCACCACCGCCATTGCTTCCGCCACCGCCGCCCGCCGACGAGCCAGAGCCGCCGGCGGCCGAGCCGGAGCCGGAGCCGGAGCCGGCCGCTGCCAGCGGCCCCGGCGGAGATGGCCCGGCCGTGCCGTCCGAGCCGGCCCCCGTCATCAAGCAGGAGCCGGGCACCGAGGGTGGCGCACAGGAGGCCGCGCCGCCGCAGAAGTCGGCCGAGCCGCCGCTGCCGGTCGTCAAGGAGGAGCGTGACGAGTGGGAGGCTGAGTCGAGCGGGTCGCGGCAGCGCAGTGGCTCGGCTGGTGCCGGTGCCGCTGCAGCGCAGGCCGAGTCCGTGCCCAACAGCCCAGCGTCGGCTGTGCTCAGCGGCGACGACGCCGAAGAGCGACGCGACTATCGGATCTGGAAGAAGTCGATCCTAATCCTGTGGCGCGAGTTCACGGCGCATCGGCACGCCTCGATGTTCGCGCGGCCCATCACCAACGACCAGGCGACCAACTACCGCGAGATCGTGAAACACCCCATGGACCTGGCGCAGATGAAGCGCAACGTGGAGGCCGGCACGGTGAACACGACGCTGCAGTTCCAGCGCGATCTGATGCTGATGTTCTGCAACGCCATGATGTTCAACTCCAGCGACCACGAGGTGCACCGGTTCGCGCGCGAGATGCAGGCCGAGTGCGTGGAGAAGATCCAGATGCTGCTGCTGGCCGACAAGCAGACGAGCCAGCGACGGGAGACGCGCGAGTCGTCTCGCGACGACCTGAAGCGCAAGCGGCTCCGGCGACGAGCGACCCACGCCCACCAGGAAGCGACGCTAGCGCTGGCGCACGCCCGGCTCCGTATCGCCCCCCTCTCGTGACCACGCCTTGGTACACGTGCGCTCCTTCCATTTCATCGTGTTTGGCGGACTGCGTGAGTGATGAGCGGCGGCTCGTTTTTTCTCGTCTGTATTATGTTTCCAGCGATGTGCAGCGAGTTTTGGGCCTGGCGTATAGGTGCTCGTTCGTAACGGAGGGCGTCCTGGGTCACCAGCCAGTATGGGCATCCCATCGATGTGTACGTGAGTCGTCGGTACCGCTGTGAACTTAGTATCTGATGATTCCTGTTCTTGTAATAAATTTGTCCGACATTTGGTGTTTCAGGCACAGTGCCTTCGTAATGTGACAGCGATGAAACCCTCAGAGGTAGGTGAGTGGACATGCCTAGTGATGAAGCTCTACGCGCACGACTCTCCATTCGTTTGCAGCGCGTGATCAGCCAACCATGGTCTCAGCAATGTCCGCAAGCGGCAGGTGGCTGGGCTTCACGCTGTTTCCTCCCCGCGCTAAGGAACTTCCAGACCTTTTTGTCAGCCCTTCCAAGCCTATGTTGGCTCGGTAGTTGGTCGCCTCAACTCCCTGTCACCACGTCTGAGTTGTGTGGTTTCGGACGTGAGAAAGACCACGCGTGTGATTCATTGGGTTCTCGAGGTTGCAGATGTGATGAGTTGGGGTCAATCACTTTCATGCAACACGATACTCTTGATGTTAATGTTTTACGATAAGTGCAGAACATGATCCCTCGTTCCCCGTTCAAGCTGCGAAATGGTTCTGAAGCACGTGCCTATGCCGTATATGAGGCCTTGTCCATGCTCCGCACAGTGGGCTGCTCCGAAAGACCACACGGGAGTGGCAGGAACGCGATGCTTGCCTAGTATTTGTATTGCACAATCATGATTCAAGTTCATTTTGCGGGGATATAACCCCCTACCTCTATCAATCACCGTCCGTGATTGCGGGTGCTGAATATTTATTAACGTGACGTCATGGACGTGATACTTAACGTTGCATCTTTCAACCGCGGACAACACTCTTCACTGTATTCCATGCAGCCATGTTTCAAACTCCGAAACCGCTGGACGGATTTTCTCCAGACCAAACCCAATCGAAAGCCATCATGTGGTTTCGTGTCCGATCTGAAACAGGATGCCTGAGGCCACCATCCACACCTTTAAGAACTGTAAAGGCCACGGAGACATTGCGGTGAAGCCCAAACTTAGAAACATCTCAACCCATCTGCCCAGTTTCACCAGACACCAGTTTCAGAACGACTGATAAAGATCTTTGCGTTCTATCTTCTGGTGAAAGTCCCGGAAAAATCCAGTGAGCGGTTTTCAAGTTTGGACTTGGCTGGGACGCGCGGAGTGGTTTGTACGGTAGATGAAGGTAAAGATTGTGACCTGGGGTCACCAGTTTTCGAATTATAGATGAAATCGCATATGCTCCATCGGTTGCCAAAGGTCCTAGGAAGATTATTCGAGCGGTTTTCGAGTTTGGACTTGACCGCAATGCTCCAGAATGGTTTATAACGGTCATGGAAGGTAATGATGATGACCTGCGGTCACCGATTTCAGAGCAGCTGATGAAATCGTATGTGGTGTCTGTTGGTAAAGGTTCGGGACAGATCAGTTGAGCGGTTTAGAGTTCGGACTTGTTTGTAGTGCGCCAGGGTGATTTATGCGGTTTTTGAAAGCAAATGGTGGAAATGGTGGAAAAATAGAAAGATGGTGACCTGAGATCGTCAGTTTCAGAGCGACCACCAAAAAGCGCAGACTCGTTTCGATCGGTGGACTTGGAGAAAATCAGTAGGGAGGTTTCGAAGCATGGACTTCGCTGCATGGATGGCGGCGAAGTAATATTGCTTTCAAGTCTCTCCATTGCGATCTGGTAGCATAAGAATGTGCAGTACTCGCCGCTTCGTTTTCATCCTGTTATCTCCGCTTCTAGAACATGTGGTGTTGGAGTTCCTTTCAGAGCTGTGACACCTTTGTTTCTGCTGCGTGATAGTTCCTTAGATGCAAGTTTCATGTCTTTTCGTATTCTACGTGACTGTTTTTCGTATGCCGACACTTCGTCCGTTGCGTTCCCTTCGTGGGTGTTACTCCGTAGCCCAAGGCAACGACGGGAGTGGGCGGATTCACGGTGTCGACCAAGGACAACGCATCTTCTGCGACAGCGGAATGTAGTTGGATCCCGACGGGGACGGCGTTCCTCCTGGTAAGATTTTTTTATACCACCGAGTCCTTCAGGAAACGTCAGCCCCTACAAGATTCGAGACGAATTCACGATCTTCTGGAAGGGAGTGTAGCTCAGGCCCGCGGCAGTGCGGAGCGGCGCCCTCCTGAAAACCATTGATGTCGGTCAAACTCGATCCCTCTTGGCACGACCATCTTTCGGGGGCTGAGAGGTGTGAGTCACCCCAGCAGACAAATTAAACCAGGTGGAAGGGGTAGTCTACGACCGGGCATGGCGGGGGACTCTGCGAGGAAAATCCTGGAGGAGAGTGCGCCGCAGGGAGTAGCGGCAGTGACCCGTTCCCCGTCGAGAACTGCGCGCCCCAACCCCCCGCTAATGGTCCGTTTCGGACGGCTGCAACTCCCCCGCGCATCTGCACGCAGCCTACACGCGGCATGAGGTCCGCCGGTACACCCCGCTGCCCCGCCGCTGTAGTCAGTGCCTACGAGTGTGGGCATGTCAAGGGCATGCGCGGGGCTCGCTCGCAGAGATGTGCACGCTGTGCCGGGGAGCACCCTTCCGAGCGATGCCCCCTCCCCCCCCCCTCCACGCTGTGCGACATGTCAGGGGCCCGTACCCGGTGACCGATCCTGCGTGCCCGGTCTGGAAGGAGAAACTTGAGACGCTGCGAGCCGCAGCGCCCGGGTGACCCCTCCTGGGTTTTGGGCTGGAGGAGTGCCGGCACTCCCAGCGCGGCGAGCTGCGTGTGACCCCACCAGGAACCCACCTCACCCCTCGTACAAACCGTCAGCAGCCACCCCCGTCAGGGACGCTATCCGTGGCTGGGAACGGTACATGGGGGCCGCCGCCGCCACGCACGACGGGCAGTAAGCCGCTGCCCAGAGCGTCACAGACCACCAGCGCCAAAAGTGACCTGCTGAAAACCCCGTCACCACCTACATCCACAAGTCAACCGCCGCCCGAGCTGACCCCGAGCGAAACGCCTTCACCGAGCGTAGACGACGCAAACGCCGTCAGTCAGGCTTCACCTCAGGCAACAGCGATTACAGGGATAATAGTGGTCTGGAGGGTACAAGGAGTCCACTCCCGACAACCTCCGCGGTTGGCAGAGGTTACCCTGGCTGCGTGCCAAGAGCCCACTGACACTGATATCATGATCCGAGATGAGGCTGGGTCACCAGTATCAGCAGACCACCGCAGCCAGGCGGTGTCTGAGGTTGACTCGGATGACTCCATCCCAGTGTGCTTACACGACAAAGTGAAGTCCCTCCTTTTGCCCGGGCCGTCAGGTCTCCACGGGCGCCATCCCCGGAAACGGACCCTGACTCCCCCCCCCCCCCCCCCACCACGCTTCCTACACAGCGACGAAGCTTCCGCTTACGTAGTGCATCAGCCTATGAGGGCAAGAACCGGGGGTATCGTACGCAGCCCACACACACAAGACGTGGCGTTTATTCCAGGGTCCTCCTCTCCTGCCTAATCAGACCCGCGTCATGTCACATAAAGAAATGGCGTTCTTACTTCAATGAAATGTTGAAGATCTTTTGTAGCATTGTGCCGAATTTGAACAACATATGAATTAATTTTCTCCCCTGGTCGCCGCACTACAAGAAGCCTTTTCCGTGACTCAGATTCGTACAAACTTTAAGGTTCCCGGATAAACTCTCTAGCAGAATAGCATAAATTCTGAAGCGCGTCAGGGTGGCGTGGCGGGTTTATGCATGAAATTCGGTTCTCCAGCGACACACTTTTCTTCAAACCCAGCTGAACTTCGTGGCGGTTACTGTGAAACTTTCCAATCTGTGTTGATATTGTCTGCATTCTTACCTCCCAACTCTCGGCTCATTACACAATCCACTCCTGATTATTTGTTCTCACAAATGCCTGCCAATTGCCTGATGCTTAGTGATTTTGGCGCCCACAATCCGCTCTGGGCCCGAAGCCAACATTTGTCTCCACGGGGATCCCACGTGGAAACCGTGGTCAACAAACATTCGCTGGTATACCCCAATGGTGGCACACACATGCTTAGGAGTTTCAGTTACCACACCACCTCAGCCATAGACTTGTCCATTGTGTCACACCGTGTCGCTCTCTTATTCCAGTGGATTGTAACTAGTGGCCTGTTATTTTCTGACCACTTTCCTCTCCATCTTATTCTTACGCGTGCGACTGCACTCCTACCTCCGCCTTCCACAAAGAAATGGTGTACAAATGGTGTTGACTGGGAATCCTTTAATAGCTGTCACCCGGCATGTTCCATACGATTTCAAAACAACCGTACCAGATTTCCCCAATGCCGTCCACTCAGCCGCTAAATGTTATCAGCCGAAACATTTCAGGAGGTTCCAGACCTGATCGGACTGGAAACGCTTCATGGTGGAACTGGCGTTGTCAATGGGCAAATGCACTTCGACGCAGGGCACCTAGAGATTTTCAAGAATGCATTGGCGCCCATCATGCGGAATTTTATACAAAAGCGCGCAAAGCGTGTTCTGACACCTTGCGTCGAGAAAATCAATCGGGCGTGGCGGGATTTTGCTTCGACGTGCAAGCGCTTTACGCCGTTAAGTAAATTTTTGGAGCATGTCCGCTCGTTTGCCTCTCGCCGAAATCACGTATGTGCCTTCCCACAGCTTGCGAGAGGAAACGACATTGTAACCGATCCACATGAGGTCGCCAACACATTTGCGCAACGCTTTGCCTCTGTCTCCCCCTCAAATATCTACTCACCCAGCGTTAACCCATGTTTAACTAAAAGAACTTCCAACCCCGAGTTTACGTCTGATCACGATGAAGCCTATAATGCTCCTCTTACCATGCGTGAACTCGAATTGTCCCGGAGAAAGTTTCGGTTAGCCCAGATGAACTACCTTACTCGTTTTCACCAAGCTATCTACTTTAGACTTATCAACGCTTCCAGTCGCTATCAACAATCTCTGGATCAATCACACTTCCCCAGACGCATGGCTCCAAAGCATGGTCACTCCAATCCTGAAGCCCGACAAAGAAAGGCTGTCCTCGGACTCAAATCGTCCAATATCACTCACAAATTGTGCATGTCAGGTCGTGAAACGAAAGGTCAGTACATGGTTCCTCGAAGGCCTTGGATGGTTCCTCGAAACAAATCAGCTGTTAGACGCCTTCCAAAGTGGATTCCGAAGTAACCACGGTACAGCAAAAAACATTTTACATCTCACTACAAATGTACATGTCAACTAGGATCGACAATGTCCAACCGTCGCTGTGTTTCTTGACCTCACATCAGCATTTAACAAAGTCCTTCGCGAAACCGTGATCTGCAAGTTGCATGCTCTTGGCCTTCGGGACCACTTAGCGTATTTTCTTTGTAATTTCTTGCAGTCATTTCTTCAGTGTATGCTGCTAATCCACGGCATCTGACTTACATCGTATGGATCATGGTGTTCCACAAGGTGGTGTTCTGTCTCCAACGCTGTCTTTTATCGCCATCAATGATGTTTTCTTCTTACACAACCGAACCACCCTAGGATGTGCCCGATATTCGATGTTTGCTGACGATCTTACTATATGGAGCTCACACAGAGACTGTGAAGAGTCTTTCCCAGCTTTGCAAATAGCAATCGATCATTGTGTGAAACTGGTGCTCAGAATGGGGCTTTCTTTCTCTCCCACTCTCCACGCCACGCTCGTTTTCAAGCGAGGTCCCTTACCGTCACTTGCCGTCTCTCCACAAATTTGTGGTACTCCCGTACCATTCTGCCCCTATACCATTCTACTCCCAACTCCCATACTATTTCTGGGAATTACATTGGACTCACGTCTAACCTTCCAAGCTCACAAAGAAGGTGTCATAAATCGTTGCTTAAAATGGCTTAACGTCCTCAGGTGTCATGCCTGGCGTGCAGACCGTGCGACGCTCATCACACTTTATATCGGTCTCGTCCGATCAACGTTGGGATATAACAGCTTCATATTCAGTAATATCTCCGCCAACCTTTGCAAACGCTTGGGAGCCATTCAATCAACCTGCCTGCGTCTGATCACGGGGCCTTCCGCACGACCCCAGGTCTCGCCATCCGTGCTGACGCCAACCTGCCAGCGCTAACAGAGTGGCGTTGCTTCTTGCTGCTCCACAAATCGCAAAGTGTGATGAACGTCGAGTTATGCGCTGCTCTTGAAACCAATAGACCGCCACCAACAAGGACAGGAGCGGAGGTCGTGTGTCCTGCCCGACGCTGTCAGACAGGCGCGACGAGCTCTTGACATCCCATGCATTCGTGTTGCTCGTAACCCTCCATTGACGCCTTTCTTGGTTTACAATGCTCTCTCAATAGAGTGTCGATCTAGATCCAACAAATCGGAATTGTCTTCTGTTTGAGGTACAGTCTATCCTCCTGAAGTACCGAAATCCGCGCGTCGAATCCGTTTTCTTTTACAGCGGTGGATCTGCTTATGGTGACCAGGTGGGTGCAGCAGCCATCGGTCCTGACTTTCGATTCACCGGACGTCTTCCAGACTTCAGTACAGTGTTCTCTGCGTAGGTATACGCTATAAAATGAGTGCTGTTACATATCAGTCAGACGTATTCCTCAGGCTACCATATGCACAGACTTCAAGGCATCGCTGCAGGCCCTTCAGCGACTCGATGATTTCAACCACCCGGGAGTGCATGATATCCATGATATAATGCTTTCGCTGCCAACCCATCAACATGTGACCTTTCTGCGGATACAGGACATTATGGCATCGTGGGAAATGTCCTCGCCGACCCCTTTTGCGAACGAAAGTGTCCGTCTACCAACGCCTCTGGAAGTGGCACTAGGTGATGTTCTATGGCACTATGCATTAGGTGGTGTTCTTCATTTTACTTAAGTCTGTTTTGCTTGATATTTGTAAATCAGTAGGATGTCTCACATGCTAGCCAATGCATCGAATCAAACCCACACTCCAACTATGGGCCACATGTCACCAGGAGAACAGGCAGAGAGAAGTAGTGTTGGTGCGCTTGAGATGTGGCCACACTCGTCTCACCCACAGTCATCTTTTCAGTCGTTTTGCACCACCGGTCTTGCGAGGCTTGTAATGTTCGGCTTACGGTTGAACACGTATTGGTTGGATGCGCTGCTCTCACTCGGGAACGTCGCTATGTCACGACTTGTTAACACACCGCCTTTCCCACACCCTCCAAACGCTGCTAGCGACGATGATCCTGCCTTAAGCGATCTTGCCCTGGACGGCGTGATTAAATCGCCATTGGGTACGAAGATCTCACGGGATCTGATTCTCCATTCAGCTCCGTGGTACGTACCAATAATGCCGGGAAGGATGACAGCACCCAACGTAACCCAAGCTGTTACTCACCGGTTTTTCTCCCACACATATGCAATAAATCGTGATCTTGAGTGACGGACCTTGTTGATCATATTTTCCGTATTGCCTAGCTTATCAAAACAAAATTGCACGTGTGACTCATTTAGGATGAGCCGGTTTTCATGCGGGATTAGTTAGGGAGCCCCGCGTTCCTCTTTCGACGAATAAAGTAAGTTGAAGCCACTAAAAAAATGTTCTCGAGCTGTACACCTTATGGCATGGCACCGAATGTGACGCATAAGAGACGGGCATTTCCATATTTGGAGGTTTTGGCGTGCTACTAGATTGGCGGACGCGCTTTCGGCCGGCGTGGTGCGAGTGGGTGGGGAGTCGTGCTGAGTTTGGAGTACGCCACACTAAGCTAACTTAATGAACTCAACGCAGACATTGCACTCAACTAACTCAAAGGACAGTACGCACATTTCAGGAAACTCTTCCAGCTATTGTTTGAGTCACGTTAGGTTTGCAACTTGAAACAAAGATCGGCATTACGGCTTGATGTTTTGCGTGGCTTGCGTAGTAAACCAGTGAGCTTTCTTCGTGTGGTCAAGAAGGTAATTATTGTATCTTGGAGAGATACCGTTTTTTATTTTTCCATCGTGAAAGAGGTAGCATAGATGAAATAAGTGATGAGTCCTTGTGGCAGCTTCCTATTTTGTACCAGGTTATGAGAGTAGTGTAGAATAGTGGTTGGGGATGGTGAGCACTTATTGAAATGCATACTTGCCATCAGAACAAAAGTAAAAACCGACAGGTAGCTACTTCCCACCAGGGAAATAAACAGTGGAGTTGTGGGCCTCATTCTTCCATGTGAAAATATCATGAGCTTTACTGATGACTGATGAGGGTATTGCGATTGACCATCATTGTTTATATATTGGCTAAAACTGTGGACCCATCAATGAAAAACAACAAAAATAAAGCTGTTCATTGATTGGTTGTCAAATCAGCTGGGTATAATTTGTGGACTAGATGCATTAACTGAAGTGCCCAATGATGGTTTGGAAACATCCAATAAGCAAATGTGAACCCCTGTCTGAGCGTTGTGTTAATGTGGTGCATGAAATTCTTGTTTCATCTAGCAGTCTCTTGTCATAAATCAACACAGCCAGATCGACAACACAACTGGATGTAGGTGCAGCCTAACAAGGAGGGAAATCAGTACATGTTATAGGTGAAGCCTTTGAACCCCTCCTGCACCTTAATTTAGTTGAAAAATTTCAAATTGCAATGCTACCTCAGACAAATGTGTGGATTTTAGATAGTGGATATCTGGCCCATGGCTGATTAAGGTATTTATCCCTGAACTGTGACCACCAGACTACTAAATGACATACTACTTAAACCAGGAGCAGGTAATATTTCCAGTTATTAGCATCCAATTATGGTCACCTATTAAATCCAAACAAAGCCAAGCCTCCCACTTCTCAATATGCAGATTGTACACCCATTATAAAAGAGCATGGGCCAATTTGTGATTTGATGGACATTCTGACAAATGCTGCTTGGAGTTGCTGGCATCTTGGTGCTACCATGCATGGAACACCCTGATATGTTAATTTCTGAATAGGAGGAGGGTTCAAAGTGCTTACACATTGCATGCACATACTCAGTGATCTCCCATGCTAGCATGCTGGTGATGTGGTCTGGTTCTTTTATGTTTCTTTGGCCTTGCAGGACTGAAAACACAAGATGGCAGTCAATCAGTTTGTGTCAGAGGTGCTGCTGCGCAAGAACTTAGGTGCTGTTTCACGACAGTCAGCCTTTTGGATATTGATTAACCTGTTCTTGTCACTCTTCATCACATTAGAAATGTAAGTATAAAAGTAGATGTAAGTAATGGTGCATGCAATCAAGCAAAAGCAGCCTGTATATGTAAATATATATTATTTTGTGATCTGCCAGTGTTTGCATATGTTTGGGCCACTAGTGTGTCCATCTTTAAGGCAAACCATGGGCACCGCTCTAGGGTGCCTGTGAAGATGCATGAAACCCCAATGTTATTGTTTCATGGTTTTTAGGTGTTCAGGTTAGTTATCAGGACATCCATTTGTCAAGTATCAAGGCATCTATCATTTAGATATTGGGGTACCTACCAGCTGTAATTGTGCACAGAGAGGTTTTCTGTTTGCAATCACTTGCCCAATAATATTGTGGGCAACAGGTCTACGAGGTTTGTACAGCGAAGTTTGTGTATATCTGCTGACATAACACTTAGTGTCTGCTTGATGTTTTGCAATGCTGCTAGCCTTATTCTGTGTTGCCACGTGTTACCATGGTAAAGCTCCCCAATAGACCTGAGATGGGGGCCAGGTTCAGCTCGTACCTGGCCTCCAAGCTGCTGTTATGTGTGTCCCATCTGACAGTGTGCTCCGAGACAGGTGCTACGGCTCGTACCTGGCCTCCAAGCTGCTGTATGTGGGTCCCATCTGACAGTGTGCTCCTGAGACAGGTACTATGGCTCGTACCTGGCCTCCGAGCTGCTGGGCGTGCCACTGCTGCTGCTCTGGCGGCTGGAGCTGGGCGTGCTCGTCATCAGCTGCCTTAATCTGGCCGTCCACATGACCCGCTACCTGTACCCGGGCCTGGGCTGCACCGTCTTGAGCCTGACGGACGAGCAGAAAGCGCCTGCTCAGCGTGGGGCGGCATTGGTGAGGGCTGGAGCGTCCGTCTCGGCCGCGCGTCCCGCCGGTGGGAGGCGGTCCGCAGGTTGACGGGGGGGGGGGGGGGAGGGGAGCGGGGAGGTGCGGGCCGGCGTCTGCGACGTCGCTCGCCGTGGTGCTCGACCCAGTTCCTGTGATTCCTAGGCTTGCCATCTCCCATACTGAAATCAAGGGCATAGGTGAACTTAAGTGCTCTGGGTGTGGTTACACTGCCATTCAGATGAAAAGGCCTTCACACCATTTTTGTTGTTGCTGGAAATGCCGTTATCTTATTCGATGCATCTCGAAAAGCTGTAATGTAATGCCATGTGATCTTAAGGGGGGGGGGGGGCTTCACATTCATATGGGGCTTTGAACTGAAATAGCCATATTGAATGCTTTTCGGTGCTTGCTCACAATCCTGCCCTTCTTAAAACGGTAGCGCCTCTAGTTTCTGAGGCACACGCCCGTGAAAAGAGAAAAGACATATTGTGGGGAATATTTCAAAGTCAACTTGACATTCATGACCTAATAACAACATTCAAACCCAGCCATTCCATAAGCCATGCGGCGATCAAGGCCAAGAAAAATATGATTGTCGAGGCGTTCACATCTGGCGTTGGTGAGCGCTGTCTCAGATAAAGTGGCCGCCAATTGGTTCTCCATCAGTGCAATGTGCAAGGAACGATTACGGAATCAAAACCATAACGCATTGAGAAGCATATTAATATGCAGATATTTGTGCAGTCTAGGGCGGTCTTTTCCAATTAAAAAGTTTGCCAATAGTTATTAGTCAGCATGTTTTGATCATATCTGATGCTTACTTCAATATCTTTAAGTGTGAAACGTATCCTTAAGTTCAAAATTTGGATGAACTTTGTGTGTGCCAAGAGGATGCTTAATTGCCTAAATGTGAAATTTTTCTTAACTATTTACCTAATGGCACTGAGGCCCTTTTGGTTTGGATGGCAGTGCATAGCCCGCCGCTCCTCGTTCACGCTGTTGTTTATGCGCCGCGAGTGGATGCAGTTTTTGGTTTGTATCTCGTCAACCCTGACCAGGGTGTCCCAGACGTGACCACCTGGGTAACTTTGAAATGGAATAAAACACATGCCAAGTAACAGCATCACGCATTGTTGGGCAGCTGCATGCAAATGTCATCTACAGGTCCAATGGCTCGCTGACTTGAGCCAAGAATTTCAAAGCTAATTCTATTGCACACGTGGCGTCTTTCTTCTCCAAAGCTATCGTAATGGGGCTGGGCTCTTGGCCTTGGCCGGGGTGCTCTGTCGCCGACTGGGAGCGGGCCCGTCGTTTTGAGCGTCGCCAGCGCTCTCGCCGCCTGGCGCTGCACCCTCTGACGCGCGTCCGTGCTCGGGTGGTGCGGCCAGACCCGGCCATCGGCAGCCGGCCCCCGGCCGGACCCGGAGCGCGACCGGCACCGGCGGCTCGCCCCGCCACGCCCATGGACCTCTCGGCGCTGAGCTGGCTGGACCGGTCGGACCAGGTGGGCGGCAGCCGCGCCCTCTCCGCCTCCGTCTCCTCCTGGGGCTACCAGGACGGCTCGGCCAGCGCCGGCTGGACCACGCACGGCTCGCCTTACGGCCAGCACGGCTCGCCCTACGGTCAACAGGGCTCGCCCCTACGGTCAACAGGGCTCGCCCTACGGTCAACAGGGCTCGCCCTACGGTCAACAGGGCTCGCCTTACGGCCCAACAGAGCTCGCCTACGGCCAACAAAGCTCGACCCTACGGTCAGCCAGGCTCGCCCTTCGGTCAGCCAGGCTCGCCCTACGGCCAACACAGAGCTCGCCCCTACGGTCAGCCAGGCTCGCCCTACGGCCAGCAGAGCTCGCCCTACGGTCAGCTAGGCTCGCCCTACGGTCAGCGCGGCTCGCCGTACGCCCAGGTAGTTTGGCATGCTTGTCTCAGGCAGCCGGGCACATTGATGCGGTATTCTTCAGTGAGGTCTCACCTCAGCGTCAACCCGCAGGCGTGGCGCTCTATTGTTGGTTTGTGAATTCAACGCTGCACTACATATCGCCGCCATGGCTTTGTGATATGGCTAGGTATAGCGCTCGGCGCGTGTGACATGCCTTTACAGCGAGACTGACAGACATGAGGAGGTCGAGGCAAATCATTCACGTGACGTGAGTGTTATAACCGCCAAATGCATGCATATTCTCGACAGTGAGGACATGCGTTTTTTTCACAGGCTGGCATCTGGGACTAGGGGCTCTAACTATGCTTTAAATATTTGTGGTATTTTTGGCTAATACGTAATGCTATAACCATCTCACAGTCTGGACCAGTCGGTTGCACGAGTCAGTGTCCACACAAAGTAATCTTCAGCTAGGATACTGTTTTCAATGTGATCTAACGACAGCAGTCTTGCGACGGGGTGTAGTCATAAAATTACACCATCACAAGATGTGCTGACGATATGTGCGGAAAAATAGAACATCTTCATTGTTCGTCATTTCAGTATATTTTCTGTGCAATGCGCAATTGTTGGGATTCGTGCAAATTCGATTCGGTGCAATGGCGTAAAAAATCTATATAGATTTACACGTGCAAATATAGAGTTACTGACGGTTGCAACCGATGTGTGTTTGCCAGTTGATCTTGCCACGCTTCTGTTTTTGTGACTTCGCAGCGTTTGAAGCGGTTGTAGCTGGTGCAAACCGAAGCACGTGCATGTTGATGTGGCTGTCCTATGCTTACTGGGCGTAGTGGTCCCCGGCATATGGCACGTGTGGACTCTGGCCGTGTTGCGTTGTGTCGGCAGCGTCTGACCTGTGACCCGCATGGCGTCCGGCGTCTGATCTGTGCGTGACCTCTGACCCCTGTGTCGGCAGTGTCTGACCTCCGTCTGACCTCTGATCCACGTGTCGCCCTGTGGTCGCCGGTGTTCGACCTGCGTCTGACCTCTGACCCGCGTGTGGCCATATGTCTACGGTGTCTGACCCTCTGCCCCCTTTCCCGGCAGTGTCAGACCTCTGTTGACCTCTACCTATGTGTCGCCGGTGTCTGACCTGTGTTTCACCCCTGACCCGTGTGGTCGCAGCGGTCGCCGCTGGCGCCGCCGTCGGTTTCGGCCGGCCCCGTATCAGCACGCCCCGTCAACCGGCCGGCCATCGAGATCACCGACAAGGACAAGCTTCCTACAGTACATGGCGCAATACGAGGAGGCGGAGCGACGACGCAACGCACGTGAGTGCCGTCCCCTCCCCCCCCGTGCGCCCCGGCTCGCAGTCGGCGGCTATGTGGGCGGACGGTGCCGGGGTGCGCGCTGGTGTGATCGGCGTCGGCCTCGTCAGTCGCGCTTGTCCGGTGTGCGTCTTGCGTGATGCTCACCGTCCGGCGCGTTGAAATGCGATGGGTGTTGTCGACACCTTGGGGTCGGCACACTTCAAGCAACCAAAGTGAGATCGTGTGAATGCGAAAAGTGCTGCGTGTCAGGGCGTTTATGGACCGATTGCATGTCTTGACGTCTGATGACGGGGTTCAGGGGATGTTGTAGCCTTCAAGACTTCAACCTCTGCTGTTTTCAGTGAACGCGTCGATGGAAGCGTCAGCCAATCAGAGCCAGAGCTTCTGGAATCACAGCAATTCCTCTCTGGCGGACTTGTTCACGCACTCACCGCAGAAACACGTGTACCAGGTCAGTGGCGTGGCACCGGCCGTGGCGTTATTTGACGACGAAAGGTCGGCGGAGCTACCTGTGCGCTGCCGGGCGCGCGTGCTGAAGTCTTGTGGAGAGCCGGCCCGGCGGCGTAGTGACGGCGAAGTGACGATGTTACTCGTAAGCGTTGGGCAACTGGCATGCGAGGCTGGGATGTCGTCAGTCACCCCCAATCCGGGCAACGTGGTCAACAATCATGCTCCATAGGGCTAATGTCTGACCTTCAGTATTCACTGATATCGATTAAATGGTACTAGTTCGGATGTCAGTGTTAACGATCTCTCCAGTGATATTGCGATCTCCCTGACACCATCAGCGTTATGTGGGCATCACCTGACATTGGCACGCTCTGTCAGTCTGTTTCCAGGACCGCTGGTTTACTCCGAGCTGTGCATGTGATCGTCACGACCCTGCGCCTCGCTTCTCGAGCGTGCACCCTTTGACCGCTGTCAGCCGTGCTCCGGCGAGTCGCGGTGCGCGCCGCCACCTGAACGCACCCCTCCTTTGACCGCTGTCAGCCGTGCTCCGGCGAGTCGCGGTGCGCGCCGCCACCTGACGCACCCCTCGCCCGCCACTGTCTGTGCGCGACCGCCGGAGACGGACGACGGCTCGGCCGCCGACAGAAGGCGGAGAGCGCACGCACTCGTCACTGGACCGCACCTGGCGCGCATCGACGCTCAGCCGGCACAGCGCGCTTACCCTCTTCCGCTGGACGGAGAACGTGCGCGTGGTGGTGCCGGCCGGCCGCCAGCCGTTCGGTGACGTCACGCACGCGTGCGAGTGACGGCGCCCAGAGCGGCGCTGCGACGACCGCGGCGCGGCATGCGTCTGATAAGGTCAAATGAGAACCATGGCGTTGCCCAGCAGAACGCCTTTTTGCCGTGATAGCGATTTTTGGTAGCCTGGTCGCACGCCAGGAGTATGCTCGTGACACCGGCCGCGCACAGGGCCGGCACGTCCGCGCGTGCCGCGTGTGATCGCCGACCCATGCGGCGTGTGAAGAGCAGCTCCAGTGTGACGTCACCGTGCTGACGGTCACGCGCTGCCTGGCGCGTTCCAGTGGCTCTGCAGACCATCCTGGTGCGGCTCGTGAAAGAATCGACTCGGTGAACGCCGCGCTGAGGAGACACGTCTCTCGGAGATGCAGATCGGGAGTGGACGCTCCGTGGCCGCACGCGGGAGCCTATCTGGCATCTTTCCTCTCCGGTACACACGGCCTCTCGGAGTGCAGATCGGTGAGTGGACACTCCGCCGCGCACGCGGGAGCATGTCCT